GGGTGGGTGCAAGGCAAAATGAGTCTAACCCCTGTCTCCAAGCCTGAGTTCAAAGTGGCTGTCTAAGGACAGGAGTCATCTGAGACGTCCATTAGGTCAAACAGACTGAGTGCAGGGAATCAGAAATACCCCCACCCCAGGCCCTGAAAAAGTCGCCTTATGCCTGAGGAAGTGAACAGTGAGGCGCAACGGGGGGAAAAAAGACCTTAGAAGTAAAACTTGGCGACATAAAACACGATCCAAGGGCTCAGCTTACTGCTCAGAAACTTCCACACTTGCTGGGACCACGCACACACAGGCCATGACCAGGTCGTGGTTTCACGGATAGCCCAATGGTCACCTAGCTGTGGCAGTGGTGGGACGCGGCCTTGCACTCGCTAACCGGGGACTCTTTGTGTTTGAGTTTGTAACTTCCACCCTCATGAGGGCCTTCCCCGACATCCCTGGAGCGGGGACTCTTCTTTTTCTTTCTTTTTTTTTGTTCTTTTTTTTGTTCTTTTTTTTGTTCTTTTTTTTGTCGTCGGCCTCCAACCTTGCCCCAAGCCCCGTGTTTTCAGGAGTAGGCTACTAGATGGACTTTTTGTTTGCCTGTGAAAGGTAGTGGTGGCTTAACACACCCACAAAACACAGCTAGGGGTAATGATAAAAGCATATACCCCTAGCTATATTCGCGGGTGGCTCCGATCTATTGGTGGGGAGCATCACGTGCTGGAAACCGGGTCCAGCGTCCCATAGTAACATTCAAGGATGAGCACAGATAACCGGGAAGCCACAGTTGCCTCTTCAGTCCCTTAGGGACCGCCAGGTATAACATTCAGCACTAGCTACTGCTGCCCCTCATAAGATTATACCGAAATTGCCAATTCCCCTCCAAGCCAAAACATTGCATCTGTACAAGGGCAAGCTCAGAAGGGGGAAATGGATCTGCAAAAAAGATTGGAGCTCTGAGAGTTAACCTGTTTTCATCCATTCTTTCATTCTTTTTCTTTTTTTTTTTCACTATTCTTCACATGGTAGACATTTTTCAACTTATCTTTCCTTCTCTCTTACCTTCTGGTTTTGAACTCAAGACCTTGCGTTCCCCTGGTTCCATATACTTTTTCCGCTATTTTTTTCTGGCCTCTTTCCTGCCTCGTAGACAGTTTCCTGTTTGTACGACTCCCTACTTACTTACTTACTTGTACCTTCTGACTGTTATCCCGTAACTTTAAACTTGAGGAGTTCGTATTCTGCTGCATTACTTTTGGTCCTTGCCTTTTTTTTTCTTTTTCTTTTTTCTTTTTGAAGGAAAACCTTGGCTGTCTACGAGAGGGGGTGATATGAGCAGCCCCCACTAGTAGTAGCCTCCAGCTGCTCCATCTATTGGTGGAAAGCTGCACCTGCTGGAAAACGGGTCCAGCGTCCCTTATCCATTTAGAAAGAACTCGTTTTGTTCTTGGCTCGACTTGATCAGGTGACCTTCTGAGCTGTACTTTTCCGGAGCCTTTGGGAAGCTTCACAGTTTCATGAATACGAGTATGTAGGACCTCGTTTAGAATTCGGGAAGGTATAAGAGTCTTGTCAATGTAGGGCCTCGCCACACCTATCCCGAAAACGGGAGAATGTTCGAGAGCACTCTCGAACTCGGGAAATCGCGAAAAACGATTGGAGAGGCCTCATCACCTCACCACTGTGTCGGAAAAGAACTGCGTTTTTCGAGAGTGCAGTGTGGCGGTGCAAGGGCCTTGCTCCACTACTCACCAAATATGCAAAATGAGAATGAATCTTCTGCTAGACCATCGCAAGATACACCGCCAGATTTTTTGTCTTTTGAGCATGTGGTGAGTAGTGGACCGAGGCCTCAGTTCGAGAGTCTCTCGAACCAAACTCGACAAAACGCTGGCCGCAGACGGTTGTCCGCCGCGGCATACTCTCGAAATTTGGGCCAAAATCGGAGGTGCCTTCGACCACTCTCGAAAGTGGCAACTTTGCAGGCGGGGCAACGACCGCAGTTCGCGAGCACTCCTGAAACCCGCGTTCTGGCCACTCTCGAAATTTTTTCTGCCATCGATTTTCGAGAGTTGGTATGGCGATGCGTTTCCTCTCCAAATCCGTGTTTTCGGGATAGGTGTGGCAAGGCCCGTAGTCTCGTCTATCTTGCGCTAGGTACTACCGACCCCTGACGAGGAGACCGGCAGAAACTCAGTGTAGGGTCCAATCGCCTGATCTGCATCTGTTTTGTCACTAAGAATTTTTTTATGCAGTTACCTGCGCTCCGTTCTACGCTCTGTGCTCAGTTCTACTCTCGTCTCGTCATTTTCCTGTGTGGTGTGCGTTGTGTATGCTGCCTACTGTGTGCTCAAGCATTTGCGTGTTTTATCCACCATGACTGATGCTTGAAACACCAGTACGTTTGCTAGCTATTTTTACAGATTTGCGGCTCGCATGCAGCTGCAACTTTCGGGCCTCAAACACCGTAGCAAAATGGCTGGCGTCCCCAGCCAGAGGGAGGAGGCCTGCGCCAGCTTGTTTTTTTTTGGCTCACAGGGCGTTTCTCAGCCCTGGAGAAAAGTGTCTCGGAAGTACTGGTGTTTTAAAGGAGGGGGAGGAAGAAACCGGAATAAGGGCGTGCTCACGCTAGCTGGTATCTCAAATGTATCTGACCGCATTTAGGGCCATACAGGAATGTATCAGGCCATAATTCTGTCCAGAAATATGGCGAAGGGTCGTAGTGTGATTATGCCCTAAAGAAGGCTTACCCAGCCCATGTGGCTGAATGCAATACCCACAAAGAAACAAACAAAAAAGAAAGTGAATGAATGTCCACTAAAGGGGATCTGGAGAAGTAATTGGAAAAGAGACGCGCTAGCGCCTTGCGACCCGCGGTCGGCTAGGCCCGCCCGCCAGGACCCGCGTGAGCCAGGTGGCTATGGCTGTTGCTAAGAAGTGCCATCGCCGCGTGGCTTGAGCACAACGTGCCCCACGGCTGCATAGCCTCCGAAGTGGATATTCCATGCTTGGGGTACGGAGTGCACTGTCGCCAGCGTAATTGCCGAAGACGAGAAGAGACCAAAGGACGAAGAGAAGAAGCCAGAGACGATTATGAAGAAGGAGACAACAGAAGATTTTCAAGGAGGAGACAACAGTGACTAAGAAGGGGCTCGATCACCACCGGGGGACTGTGGTAAGGGAGACACGACGGCGGAGAGGGGGTGCAAACCGGAATCGCGTAGAGGTGTGGAACAGCGAGTGGTGGGTGCGCCACGGAGGTGGCATACTAGGGTTAGAAAGACACTGCGACGTTGAAAGAGAGCACATAAGAAACGCTTGGAGGAGTGGAGCAGAGGAGTGGAGTCTGCGCCACGGAGGTCGGCACGAGGAGCGTAGCGGGACCCCACTCAAGAGAGAACTGGCAGCGCGAGTGGACGTCATCGAGTTGTGGGTGAAATGCTCTTGGAATGCGCAGCCCTCCCCTTTCCGCCCTCTCCCAACCTCTGCCTGCCCGGCCCCTCTCACACCACTAACCGATCCGATCCTCGTTTGTTTGCGCTCCCATGCTAATAACCGATCCGATCCATGTTTGCTTTCCCCACCCCTGCCTGCCTGACCACTCCCACGCCATTGACCGATCCGATCCACGGTGGCTTGTGCTCCTACGCTGATAATTGATCCGATCCATGTTTGCGAGTGCCAAGGAGTGTGTAGGAGTGGTGAGTAACGGCAACGCCAGTGGTGGGACATATGTTACACTCTCCCCACTCTTCGATTGATTATGCTCCAAACGACACAAGAGGACAGTCTCGCATGAGTTGAATACTTTAAACCCACTCGCCTATACTCCATGCGAGAGGTGAACTCTTTTATAGATTAATAAAACAATGTGTCGATCGATCGCCTGATCGCTTGACCGCCTACCCGCACATCATCCCGTGTCACGGACGTCTGACTCTCATTTAGGGCTGTATGCTTTCGATGTAATCTATGGTTGAAAGTCGGCCGACTGTTTATACGACTGGGCTTGGATCATCAACATAAAGGTTGAAGAAATCGTGACTTGTTTGCCAACCCAAGATCAGGCTTTCGAACAGGGTTGCAGGCTCCTATTGTATCCCGGGATTGATTGATCTGCGAATGTTTCTACAACCGGCCCTCAGTTGTGCATAACGATCGTGATGAACTCTTTTATAGATTAATAAAACAATGTGTCGATCGATCGCCTGATCGCTTGACCGCCTACTCGCACATCATCCCGTGTCACGGATGTCTGAATCTCATTTAGGGCTGCATGCTTTCGATGTAATCTAAGGTTGAAAGCCGGCCGACTGTTTATACGACTGGGCTTGGATCATCAACATAAAGGTTGAAGAAATTGTGACTTGTTTGCCAACCCAAGATCAGGCTCTCGAACAGGGTTGCAGGCTCCTATTGTATCCCAGGATTGATTGATCTGCGAATGTTTCTACAACCGACCCTCAGTTGTGCATAACGATCGTGATACATGCCTGTTCGGGACTCAACACAAACACCCCTCGCCGATCAAACGTGCGCTTAACGACTGTTGTTCCAATCGGCCTTGAATCATCAACATAAAGAATTGGATAATCTGTATGCTGATTGTTTTATGACTGCGCGACAATCGTCAACAACGATCCTGATACAGGTGTGATGAGGACTTTACGCAAATATTCCCCGTACACCATTGTGTTACGACCCGCGCACCATATCACAATTGCGCATACTCCTGCTTGTACGCAATAAGGACAACCAAAAGGGCCGCCAGATGGTGCAGCCCTCCCTCCCTCAGGGGGGGGTGACTGCCCTCCATCTACGAAACAACGAGATGAATCGGGCCACTACTGATGCGCAAACCGATCGTTTGTCGAGGGGAGGGAAGGACGAACGGAGGGTGACAGGGGAGCCTGTCCAAAACCCGGAAGGGCTATTGACCCGGCCTGCTTCGACCGAGGATGTGCCAAGGGGTGTTATGGAGGGTATATCAGGAAGAAGGAAAACCACTCGTACCCCCGGACAAGCTCTGAACACGGCCCAGGCGCCCCCCCTGATGAAGTGTGTGCAGGGGTCCATACACGGGATCCCTGCTCAGGCGCCCCCTCTGACGACGCATGAACAGGGCTCCTCACACGGGCCGACGCACAAAAGACCGGAAGCACAGATACGGCAAGACATGGTGATTGAAAAAAAAAATGTCGTCACAGAAGGGGGCACGTGGAAGGACAAGCTTGTCAATCAGGGCGCCCCTCGCCAGGAAGCGATATCCGGCCCCAGTATATCTAAGAACCCTCCCCCTCAGCTGCTCAGAGCTCTGTCGGCACCAGCAAGAGCTGATGCGATCAGCTCTTCCTCTCTTGACTTGATGGCCCCACTGAAGAGCCACCTCATATAGCAATTGCACGTTGAGCCAGAGAGGAAATTTCAAGTCAGAGATGGTTTCATCTACCCCCACTCGATATTCCCCGCACAGGCAAAAGCAGCTAGGGATGCTATCTACTCCCACAAAGAAGTGCACTTTCGATTTCAGTCCGCCCAATCGGAGATACCGATCAACGACAAGCTTAAATGGATTGCTGATGTACTGGGTAAAGTTAAACCGGACCGCCAGTTGGTGCATGACCATTTCCTTATAGAGGTACATAACCCGGAATGTATTACTGTTGTCGCCCTCTACCCTACGGACAAGCATCTCATTTTGAGAAACAGAGGTTTGTGGTTCAGGGGATACCCTGTGCAGTTGTCAGCATGGTCTTCGATCAACCCACAATCGACGGACGAGAGGAGACAATACCTCATGTCCTCCAACTTCTGGGTGGAATTCAGATTTGCCCCGCTCACTGTACAGGGAGCGATACTGACAGACTTGGAAAACATAGCCCCGGTCAAAGGATATATCACGGAGTTGCCTCAATTTCTGGAAAAAAGAGACGATTCGCTCCTTGTAGCAGTGGAATGGGATCCGGAATACCCCTTCCCCCTCAATGACGAATGGCGCTATTCTCACGGAGGTAAGGAATACTCTGTTCCCGTCAGCCATACCCACGATCCTTGGTGCTATGCCTGCAAGCACAGAGGACACCTCAATACTGATGAGACATGCCCAAAGAATAGAGGCAAGACCAGAATCAAAGGGCTTGTAGTCCCCCACCCCGATGATGAGGAATGGTGGTATCCTGAAGAGAGGGAGCTGGAAGGTTGGGTGTTTAGGGCGTATGCAGACGGTACCCCGGGGATATGGTTGTGAAAGGGCACTGACAAGCCACGGGCTTTCCCCTCCGGGGCCAGGGTGCAGATAGACAACGACACCAAATTTAAAGGGAGGCAAGAGCCACACCCAGAAGTGCACCCTGCCCCTGCACATCGCCCTAATCAACCCCGACCCCGACARAAATACCAGCCCAAAGCRAAGGGCACTCTGGAACCTGGTTCTGAAATCCGAGATGGGAACCGGGGCAACACAGTTGTGCATTCCACGCTCCTTAAGACTACGAAGGGCGCCAACGACCGGCCAGCAGATGGCCAGGTCTCACATAAAAGAGAAGAACCGAAACCGCCCCCCCCCTCCGAAACCACGTTGGACTCAGGCCACAGCAAGGTTCATGCGCCGGACCAGAAACAGCGAAGGCAGGATCCCTCCCCTTCACCGCAGCCCATGGCGAACTCGGACTGCACAAACGTTAAGACACAGGCTCGAAGGGAGATTCGCTCAGACCACAATGGTCTTAAACATGGTGGACAAAATCTTGTACCCTCCCCAGTGGCCGCATTGGATAAACAGGGTGGACAGCATCCCACTCCTTCCCCACAGTCTGAGGTGGATGTGGATCCCCTCAACAGTGAGAGCCCGCACCAGGAACAGGGTGTGCAGGGCAGCACTGTTGTGCATCCCACGCCCCTGAAGACCACAGAGGGTGACAACAGTCGGCCACCAGATAGCCAGGTTTCCGAGGGAGAGAAGAATAATTGTCTGCCCACCTGCCACAAAGGTCTGGGAGCTCAAGGCCAGCGGGATCCACTCCGTTATACCACGCTGGACTCAGGCCACAGCAAGGTTCATGCGCCGGACCGGAAGCAGCGAGGGCAGGGTCCCTCCCCTTTACGACAGCCCATGGCGAACTCGGACTGTGCAAACGTTAAGACGCAAGCTCGAGGGGTGATTCGCTCAGACCACAATGGTCTTAAGGCCCAGAGCCCTCACCAGCTAGCGCGACTTCCCTCGACGACACCAGAACACAGGGATGAGACTTAGAACCACATACAGGGAGGACAAGATCCTATACCCTCCCCGGAGCCCACATTGGACAAACAGGGAGGACAGGATCCCACTCCCTCCCCAGTGGATGGGTCCTGGAACCACAAACAGGGTGGGCAAGATGTTGTGCCCTCCCCAGAGGCCGCATTGGACAAACAGAGCGGACAGGATCCTACTCCTTCCTTAGAGCCTGTGTTGGATGTGGACCCCCTCAATAGTGAGATCCCGAACCAGGAACAGGGTGAGCAGGAACGACACCACCCAATACTGAACCAGGAACAGAGAGAACAGGAACAACACCACCCACAGCTGAACAGTCATGGGATGATTTCCTGCACGGACTCCGAAGGGCCAGCAGGGGAGGGCCAGGCGTTGATCCTTGCGCAAGAAACGTCTGAAGCGCAACATAACAGAGGAAAGCTAAAACCCCGGTCACCACAGCAAATGTGGCTCAAAGCCAATTCATTTTAACAAAATAAAAGGTGCAGCTTTCCCTCTCCATCGGGGCACTGACAAGGAGAATGACAAACATCCTGCCCTATAGCCACCAACATCCACCACTGGCAGCCCGTTGCATAAACCCTGCCACACAGATGGTGAGGTGGACCGGGATTTGGACGCAACTGGGCAATCTGCAGCAGACAAGTCAAGAATGGCACCTCACGTGAGGGAGGTAGTCTCTCAGATTACAGGGGAAAAAAAGTTCCTCCCAATCAAACAAAGAAGCATTGCCACTCCCAAACCTGCCCCCGAACCTGCCCCCCGACAATCGATCATACCTGCGATAGAGGAACGACACTCCCTGGAATGTACCCGACTTAAGGGTCAGGTCGAGGCAACTGCTCTCCCGCAACAGCACCGGTCAACAGACCGACTGGAACAGCAGCAACCGCTGACCCAGCCGTCACAATTGCAACTGAAACCAGTGAAACTGCACGCTGCTGCAACTGCTCTCCCGCAACCGTACCATGTCGAAGATGGATTGGGACAATAACCGCGAACCCTCCTGTCACACCTGGAACTGAATCCAGGAGAGTTGCACCGAGACAACCCTCCGGGGCAGCAATCTCGAGACCAAGCTCGACAGCAGTGTCCTCCCCAACTATTGACCCAAAATCAAAACAGGGGGGATACCCAGCAGCAACCGCACCAGCAGCAACGTCAGCAACTGTTGCCGTCCCTGGAGCCTCTCGAGGACTATTGCATGGAGGATGTACAGCCGCAACAACACCAATTGTTGACACACCAGGGCAAACAACAGCCACATATGGGAATGCCTCAGCCTCCCGGGGACCACCCGGTGGACTCCACACAGCAGACGGAAGACAACACTCACCACACATACCAACAGTTGACACACCAGGGAGACCAACAGCCTCAACTGGAAATGCCTCTCCTGGGCCAACAACAACTGCACACACTGAAACTTGAGCAGCAGCTCCAAACATGGCAACACGAACAACAGCTGCTGGCATGGCAGGAGCAACCCCCGAGGCAAGACCAGCATAGCATACACCATGCACAAATCCAAGTGCTAAACCAAACGGCACAACAAGCTCATCACTTTCAACAACAACAAGCCATGCAACAGAGAGTCTACGAGGAGCAGTACCACCTCCTATTGCAAGCTCAACTCGCACAATATCATCAACAACAGTACCAACAGAGGATGATACAACAGCAACAGCTCCTCCAACACCTGGACTTGCATTGGCAACAACAGTTGTGCTGCCAACAACAGCAAGTCCTGCAGCAACAACAGGAAGAGCGACAAATATATTGGCAACAACAAATCGAGCAGCAAGATCACATGCCACAAGCCGAGGAGCAAATGTTGCTGAGAGGTGCAAGGGAGAACAGCCCGCAAACTGAAGACGGTCAGACTCATGACATGGATATCTCGGCCCTTGACGTTACAGAAGTCCAACAGCAACAGTTGCCGACCGATATGGACATCCAACTCGTGGTGCTTGTGCCACCAGGACTATTCAAAGATAGCCCGCCTCCCCCTCCTCCTCCTCCGCTGGCCGCCAATGATGAGGTAAAACAAAAATTGGAATTCCTCACGGAATGGACCTTGGTCAAAATTTTTTCACTATCGGAGGACAGCCCTGCGGACAGGCTCAACAACAAGCAATGGGGGGAGGCGAAAATTGTCCTTATGTACAGCCCTCGAGTCCAAACCAACTGTTGAAAAATATGACAGTATGTCGGCTATAGATTGGATGGATGTCGGGGCCGCAATTGTCCTAGTAGTTAATGAATTTCTTGACAAAATGAAAGAATATGCGAATAGGACACTCGAGGCAGAGAAAGTGACCCCCGACCGCAATCCGACGCACTCACAATCCGAGGCCTTTTGGCACGAAGGCCTTGCCTGGCCTAAAGTGCTCATTCAAGAGTTGTGTGATACGCTGCATGCCCTCCCTCACAGGAGTTCAAAGGAGGAAGGAAACGATCAAATCTGCACCATCCCTGCACGACAGATCTTTCCTGACCCGCAGATAGGACAATATCTTACCCTGCAGCCCGGGAGTCCATCTGCCCGCGCCGACCAGGTAACAGAGATCAGACCCAAGAGGATGGGCCAATTGGTGAGGCTGGAGGTCAACGATGAGCTCCCGGCTGCCATGCCTCGCGGATTTGTCATCTTTCCCCTGACCAGAGTTAAGAGCGCAGGACAGTGGGTGCTTGGACTTAGGCCGCCACAACAGCTCCCTCCCGAGCCCCGACCTGAGTTCCTGGACAGACTGACGCTGGAGGGATGGAAGGGGAACCCGTCAAAGGCGGTCATTCTGAAAAGACTCAAATACTGGGCTAGGGAGACGAGTACGGAAGGAGTGATGGGAGTGGTCCTGCCTACCTCTCTCTCACTCCCGCAAGGCATTATTCCCGCCATTTTGCTCATCGATCCCAAAATCAGACTACAGAAACGGGCAAACTTTAGTTGGTTTACACATCGACAGCTAATGGAGTTCAGCACTGACCGATTCACAGCTGGCAATGCTTGGACACAATCTGAAGTCACCCTTATGCAATTGTTTTTGGAGGACAATGTGCTCCAAGAACAAAATCAGTGGGACGATCCCCCGACTGTCGTCCCCATCAAATTGATTGGCTGAGAAACCGACGTGCTGGGTGCACAATAAGATCTTAATACTGTTGCACTATGATGAGTCCAACCAACCCAATGACCGGCGAACACACAAGCCACACACTGATTCAACCCCTGGCAGACAAGGACTTACCGTTTCCTGCTGGTTCGGCTCGCCCTGCCCCCCTCATTGCAGCTTCCCCGCCCGCCCAACAACAACGGTCCCTTCCACCCCTGCGACCACCCTCCCCTCCTGTGTTTCCCCGGATCAGAAACCACCCGCAGTGGGCGGTCAAGCTAGCCAGGGCAGATATAGACATCCGATCATTAAATGTTAACGGCCTCATTCAAGCAACATCAGACAAAAAAAATGCTATATGGGATATGATCAGATCTCCGGTTTCTGGCAGCTGGCCTGATGAGGTGTGTATTCAGGAAACACACCTTCAGAACACACCCCAACATGCAGCGGAAGCCAAATTCATATGGCCCTACACATGCTACTTGGCGCCAGCAGTTGACAGAGCGTCGGCCGGGGTTGCAATATGGCTCCCACCCTCCTCGAAACTCAGACAGCTGTCGGTGCAACACGACCATCAACATGCCCGATGGGTGAGTCTCAAAGCCGCTTATGAAGAAGAGGAATTTTACTTAGTTAATGTCTATGCACCAAATGACCCTGCCGACATGATAGATTTGTGGCTTGCCCTGCTCCAACATATACCAAAGGATGCCCCCGTCATTATGATAGGGGACATCAACACCACGCTGGACCCGGCGATGGATCGTAGGTCCTCCTCCCAAAGGGAGGATTTGGACCTGCCCTCGTTGCCGGAATTGAGCCCAGAGTATCCTCCTGAGGCTTTTGGGGCTTCGCCAATTCGCGAATAGACCTTGCTCTGGTTTCGAAGGAACTAATGGGCGCGACCACGACTGTTGAGATAGCGGCAATTAGCCCTTGTAAATCCTTTGACCACCGCATGATAACTTTGGGCCTTTCTTTCCACAATCAAATCAAAAGAGGACTGGGCTTTTACAAGTTAAATACGTCGTTGTTGCAGCTCACCAAATTCAAGGAAATGGTGAGGGAGTTTTGGCAATACTGGCAGTCTACAAAACCGCAACCGGAGGCGCGTCAAACCGTCACATGGTTTAATAACGGGATTTCCCAATTAAGAGACAGAGCCAAGAAATTTTCCACCCAGACAGCAAGAGACCGCAAGGCGATAATCGACCGCCTTACGCGGGACCTCGAAGAGTGGGATGAGTCCACCATAGAGAACCCTCAACTCATCCCGCCATTTGAAAAACTGCAAGAGGCAAGAGATCACCTCCAAGCCTACTTAGAAAGGTAATCGCAGGCATGGAGGATACAAGCAAGAATAAGAAGAGAACACACCGAGGGAACGATGACGAAGTCCTTTCTTAATAAAGCAAAAGCCCGTGCACGAGCTTCGGTCGTGCCAAGGCTCAGACACCCCCTCGACGACAGAGCTCCGGCAGCTACGAATGCTTATGCAATCACTGACTACGCCGCCAACTTTTACAAGGACCTGTTCACATCAAGTACCCCCAATAAAAACCCTGACGAAGTACGGGAGGCCAGGGACGAGCTGCTTTGCGCTGTGCATTCACGCTTAACGCAAGAACAAAAAGCGGAATTGGACAGGCCTCTCGTGCTAGAAGAGGTATGGGAGGCCTTACAGCAAATGGACGATGAGAAAACTCCCGGAATTGACTCCTTCCCAAAGGAGTTCTGGCTGACATTCTGGGACCTTCTCAAGGATGATCTAATGGACTACATAAGGTCTGTCCGAGAGGAAGGCTCTTTTGGGGGTATGATCGGTCAAGGGGTGACTACGCTTTTTTATAAAAAAGGAGACAAAGAAGATATTAGAAATTACAGACCCATCACTCTCCTCCCAGTCCCCTATAAACTGGTAGCGAAAGCCCTCACCACTCGCCTGCTGCCGTTTATGAACTTGCTGATCCACCTTGATCAAACAGGTTTTATGCCAAATCGCAATATCCAAGATAACATTCTGCTGGTCAACGAAACTATCAAATATGCTCGCCAGCGCAGAGCCCAAGCAGCCATACTATTCATAGATTTCGAGAAAGCATATGATCACGTCGACTGGGACTTCTTAGACATGTGCTTGGCAAAAATGAACTTCGGTTCCCAATTCTGCCAATGGGTGCAAATCCTCCACAGATCGGCCACCACAAACATCATGCTCAACGGCCACCTCTCTGCCCCAATTCGACTGTAGAGATCAGTCCGCCAAGGGGACCCCATCGCACCACTGCTGTTTGTCATAGTCATGGAGGCTCTGGCAGCGTTGATCCGGGCTCACCTGAAAATAAGCAAAATACCAATCCCAAAGATACTGGAGCATCTTATTCCGATGACCTCACTCTTCGCGGATGACCTCACGGTCCTCATACGTGCAGATCGGGACAGCATGCAAGCCCTGACCCAAACTATACACCTCTTTTCATTGGCGGTGGACATGAAAGTAAACTGGGGATCGAACACAGAGGGCTGGTGGCTTCATCCTCATGACGTGCCTCCACCACCGGTCCCGTGCGTAGCATGGGCGAGGAAAGAAGACGCTATCAGGATATTGGGAGTAAAGCTAACAGTTATGGGACCCCCGGTGGACCATGGAGACAACCTCGTGAATATGGCCATCGACCGTATGGCGAGATGGGAGGGACTTGCCCACATTATTGGTTGGACGGGCGCTGGCAATCAATAACGCCATCCTTGCAGCTATATGGTACAAATTGGCGGTGTGACCACTGACAACGCAGCAATACACCAGACTGCGTAAAGCGCTTACATCATATCTATGGAAGAACAGCGCCAAGGCGGAAGGGTGCCTAAGTAGAATGTCTTGGGACACCCTCACACAACCAAGATCTGTTGGGGGGTTGGGGATACTAGACCCTCAGAGGGAAACCGAGGCTATGATGTTCAAAGTGCTTACCAGACTCCTCGTAGGAAACAACATTCCATGAAGACCTATGGCCTGTGTGCAAATAGGGGGGTTGGCGCCGGAATCGGTGCCCTCCGATCACGTTCACCCGTTCCAATGGCTGACAAATAAACACTGGACGATCCCGAGTCCTCGCCGCCACAGGCAGGCGGTTGGCACATCACATGCCATCTGAGAGGACATTCACAACGACCCCCTTTGGCCCAATATGATTAAACAGTGGAGGACACGAGGCCCTTATCAAAAGCGCGCGCCCAACAGGTGGCACACAGTGAGGAGGCAGCCACTGTTTGGAAACCCCTTCATCCTAGATGAGGATGGAAACCCCTTTGCGCTCACTACCAACTTACCGTGGCTAGTCCGGGTAAAAAGAGGAATCTATACAGTGGGTGACCTCTAGGACCAGGTCGAACAGAAATGGCTCTCGATGGATTGTTTACGCACTAAGCTGAAATATGTGAGGAACATTGAAGACAAGGCTCGCCAACTCATCGATGCCCTGCCATTGGCCTGGCAGCAGACTCTCAAAACAGGGCCGACGATCCAGCCGCAAGACTGGGTGGTCAGATATGTGGACCTGCCATGTCCACTGAAAGTTTACAGGGTCTGCAACAGAACCTGCGGGAGCTGCAAACTGGAAGCCTTTGGCCTGCAAACCCCGGGGATGCGGCTGTCCCACCTGAATCGAGATGAAGATTCCGACATTACAGAGTCATGGGTGGGACTAATAAATGTCCGAGTTGTGGGACCGGGACAATGGATTTCAGGTGTAGGAGCTGTCCACACCCATTGCTCTGCTTCCCTTCGATCCGGAGGAATGGAAATGGATGAGCCAGCAACACTTACATATCTGGGACTACACGGTCAAAGGGGGGTACAAGGCAGCGCAGCCTCAACAGCAGATAGCCAACACGATCGTACGTAGATGGGAGCGGGACTCACCACTTGGACCGCACTTGCCGCATACCCTCCCCTGGACCAAATATGATAAACTTATGCCCACGAACCTTAGGTCCCTGCAGTGGCAAATATTACATCCGTGTCTCCCCACCCCCGACTGGATTGTGTCCAGAACAAATCTAGAGCAAAAAGGTCTGTTATCCCCCATCTGCACGTACTGTTGTAGGGCCACACAGCCTGCCAGGGCAACCCTTGAGCATTGCCTGTTGGCTTGCCCGATGGTTGCCCAAATATGGAGGTGGTGGGATGCGGCGTTCCACGCGCTGACGGACCAGCACATACCATGGGACATTGGTCTCCTCCTCCTGGGCGAAAATCAACAACTGCTTGCAAACTGGTCTCCGTTCGCGGTTAACCTCTTCTCATACATGAGGCTACATGTCCTCATGCAAGCCTGGAGAACAAGGTGCTCCTATGAGAGAAATGACCACCAGTTTGGATTTCAAAAAGCGCAACAGGAGATAGAGGATGAAATTAGATCCCGGAAACTGCCTGGAAAACCATGTCACATGAGTACTACGAGGAGAAGGATGCAACCCTCAGAAATGTGATTCTTGAGTCATATTGCCAGGTTTGGCAAGACCCCCATCGAATCTTCTCTGCACTGCAGCATGATCTCACAATACAATGGAAGCAATGGAGGGCGGGAGAGCCGGGCTGGCAAAGAAAACCTCTCCAAGACTTTGCGGTCCCGTTCCTTCCGACCAATTTCGTACTCATCCCTTAGACATCTAACATACCCTCCATACGCAGAGTCCCCTCCTGCCTCCTCACCTGCTTTTGCTTTCGGCTTCTTTCTCAAACTGTCTCCCCCACCCTACTCCCGCTCTTGCAACGCTAACAGCTTCATACCTCCTCGCAATGCAGCAGGTGAAAGGGGCCGACTACGGGACTTCAAGACATCGGATCGACAGAAGACGAACAACAACAATCGCCTACCAGGGAGCCACATTTGGAGGGGGTCAAGAGATTAACACCACAAAGACAGACCAGCTACACAATAATCAGACTACGGCCACCATAGGAGCCACATTTGCAGGGGGTGAAGAGATTAACACCACAAAGATAGACCAGCCACCTGAGATAAATGGTCCTCGACCTGTGCTGAGGGTTTAGGGGTTAGGGGTTTGGAAGATTACAAAATGCTCCCTGACTGATGAAGGATCGGCTACAGACCAGGGTACAGACTAACCCAATCCCCGTCAGCACGGACTGATGACGGTCATCCCTTTGGGTGGGGGTAGGGGAAAGACAGGTCAGTCTGCTCCTCAGGGTGAATGGTTCAAGACACAATGCAAAGAAAGGCTTCTGGAACTGGCTTCGGAAAGACTACAATCTTTGGGGGGGTTGCACACACCTGGGATAGGAGTTTGGCTACGGCCTTCAGGAGTAGCGTAGATAAAAATGCAAAGCAGACTCCACCTCGGGCTGGGCAGGGCCAGCAGGAAATAGGAGCATCACAAGCTGGGAGGGCAACATATGTAACCCCGAGGGAAAATAGGGTGCTCTGGGACATGAGCTCGTAATGCCTGTGCCCAACAAGCACTGCATTACAACGATGTGTTTAAGGGACGCTGCACCAGCAGGTGCTTCTCCCCACCAATAGATGGAGCCTCCCCGACGGTGCTAGGTGTGTCTGCTCATATCAGCACACCTAGCATCCGGCCGGGCTGTTCATTCCAAAAAAAAAAAAAAAAAAAAAAAAAAAAAAAAAAAAAAAAAAAAAAAAAAAAAAAAAAAGTGAAAAAAAATTCCCGCCTTTCGAGTTAAAAAAAAAAGAAGAGCAGGCTAAGAGCCTGTAATTATACCTCATGAATCCAACAATGAATAGGAAGAGAAAGGTAATCAGTGAATGTCATCTATAATCTCACCAACGAGCAACAAATGCCTCCACTTGCTCCACAAGTTCAGCTGCTTCTTTCTGTAATTTGATTTTCAAATGATTCTTCTGATCTGTCAAGTGAGCCTGTTAATCCTTCATTCCCCTCTCCTCACCCCCTTCCTCCCCCCCCCCCCCCCCCCCCCCCCCCCCCCCCCCCCCCCCCCAATCCCAGGACACACACACAGTCGCACATAGTACCCACAGCACACATGCAAGACATACACTATGAGAGACAGACACTGGTTCACTCTGAATTCCACACACACACACACACACACACACACGGAGGGAGAGAGAGAGAGAGAGAGAGAGAGAGAGAGTTTTAAGTTGCAAGGATGCAGAACCATTCAAGGTCCACCAACTTTGCAGGGTGCTGTCCACTCTATTGACCGGCCGTTTTCTCAAATCCACAGCCCATGATTGTGCTGAAATCTACCTGCTGGCAACCTGTTGCTAGTGACTACGGTAGGAGAAACAGAAATTTGTTCTCTTCCTCCCGGCTCCTGAGTAGCTGACCCTCTAAAGACATTGCAATACACACACAAGTAGCAAGAGCAAGGAATATCAGTTTATCAGTTTATCATTCATTACCAAAGTTTAGTCTGTGCCACACACACACACACACACACACACACACACACACACACACACACACACACAGAGAGAGAGAGAGAGAGAGAGAGAGAGAGAGAGAGAGAGAAAGAGAGAGAGAGAGAGCTTCGTGGGGAGCAACACGTGCTGGGAACAGGGCCCAGCGTCCCATATAAAATGATACAAGAAATTTAGAATACCAGGGCCATTACCTGGCTTCGGCTAAGAGTAATCTGAGAATACCAGGGCCATTACCTGGTTTCGGCTAAGAACAATCTAAGGGCCTCGTTAGACACTCCTTACGGTTTCCTTGAGCCACAAGGAAACGTCCTTGTGGTTTTGAAGGGGAAATTGCGGCGTCGTTACACTCATCCTTGGGGCCATCCCCCGAGGGTGTTTCCTTGTGGCTTCCCCGCGGCCGTTTTCATACGCAAATTAGCGGCCGCGGGGTCTGTCGTCCTTGGTCCAGCTTCTTTGTCCGTGTGGAGGCTGCGCGGTCCAGCGACGCGAGGCGGGAAACGGCAGTCTGTGGGCGGCGCGAGGAGAAATTTAAGCCCAAGAGCGTGGGCATTCGAAATTCAAATTTCGAATGCCAGCTTCGACAGCGACGACGACGTGTGGATGGCGGGACGACGGCGTCGTGCTGCGGAAAAGGGCCCGGCGGCGGCGGAGGCCACGTCCAGAGGGCTCCCTCATCTGCTCCCGCAGCGTGTTGTGCTTCCATCGCCGTGGACCTTTGCGCACGTCGACTGCGCGTTGCTCTTCGCTTCCGTGCGCGGGGTTGTGAGCGGGGAAAGGGGCCACCTTCTCAACGGACGTCTTCGGGACCATCGTCCGGTGCGGGAGGACGAGACAGACGGCAGCGGAACGACGGGCTATGGAGGGCGGCGTCGTGGCTAGACGTGATGTGCTGAGTCATGGTGAGCTGCAGGCGGTGGCGGCGGCCGTGTCGACGATCGTTCTTCGATGTCAGCAGGAGAGGGCGCTGGGGCGACTGAAGGAGCATTTGCGCACGCGTAGACGGAGGACATTGACGCAAGATCCGCACGATGGTGCCGAGTTCGTGGCGACGTCGGAAGCTGTTGTTCAGCTGTGCTATGCGTTGGGCTGCGGAGTGATACCCCGCGCGACGCCGCGGTGGTGGGTGAAGCGCAGGACAGGAGGAACGTGGGAAGACCTCAGGCTATGCGACGACGCGACTGACRACTACTTCCGCGATAAGCTGTGAATGTCGCCGCGAGTGTTCCGGGAGATCGCGGAGGCGTGTGCGCCTCATCTTCAACGGCAGGTGACGTTCTACAAGGAGCCTTTGCAGCCGGACCAGATTGTGGCGTACGCACTGTACAGGTGGGCTTCAGGTGAGACGTATGAGAGCAGCACGTGCAACTTCRGGATYGGACGAGCTTCTGGGCTGATTGTCGTCCGCGACGTGACTGCCGCGCTGCTGAGGGTGTTCGGCGATAAGATAGYGTGGCCGRCGGGAGTTCGTAAACAAGTCGTTCTTCRKGYGTTCGYTGATAAAGGCTTCCCCAACTGCCACGGTTGTATTGATTGCACTCACATCTACGTCGACAAGCCAGCGAATGCTCCGAGCGAAAATTACTACGACAGGAAGCGCCGTTTCTCCATCGTCGCGCAGGTCGTTGTCGACTTGGACTTGCGTGTGCTGGACGTGCACATGGGATACCCCGGTAGCTGCCACGACATCAGGGTGCTGCAGTTGTCCAGCCTGTCGCTGCGCGTAGAGGAGGGGTCGTTGTTCTGCGGGCCCCCCGTCACACTGTCGTTCGGTGTGAAGACGAATGGTTACCTTCTGGCGGACAATGGGTACCCCCCTGCCGAATGGATGGTCGTCCCGTACGACGGTATCAATCAGAGCGTCGAGCAGGAGCGGTTTGACAACAAGCAGAAGGTGGCAAGGGGAGCGTGGAGAGGGCGTTCGGCAGGCTGAAGGGCATGTGGCGGCTGTTTCTCCGAACACACAAGACAAACCTGGAGACGCTCCCGCAACAGTTCACCGCCGTCTGCATACTGAACAACTTACTGATCGATGCGGGGATCCCCTTCGACTAGAATCTGTTGTGGGAGGTCGACGGTAACGGTGTGCGACGACGAGTGGACCTGGGGATCGACGAGCCCCTCCAGCCTGTGTCGATGTTGACATCGACCCGCGAAGCCTTAGCCCTGAGGCATGCTTTGGCAGAACGAATGAAACACGAATGAGTCGTGTATCATTCATGGATGACAGCACATGAAGATGGCTTAATTGCAACAATGGGCGGATACTAGATTGGTCTTTCCATCCTCCCTTGATTGGGTCACTGTCGTCTGTACCCCGACGGGGTTGGTGGTTTTTGTGGAGGGTCGTTATTCGGATGGTGGAAGGCAGCGCGTGGAAGTGCGATCTTGGTGCAATGGCCGGGGGACAGAATCGCAGTCTCGTCGGCCGTCGGCTTGGTTGCTAGCCCTGTTAGGCGTCGTGGTCGGCGGCTTGCGTCGACGATTGTGTTTGGTTAGCCTTCGCAATCCACGGATGTGCGTTGTGTTCCTTTTTTTTTTTATGTTTAACTTTTTTTTTTGGATGCCGTTCATCAGGAGTAGTGCGGAACATGCTCATTGCAGGTGTGAGGTGCGCCTTTTTCGAGAAGAGTTAACGCATTTAGAGGTTAGAGGTATGGTGTTCATTCGGGTGGGCATGAAACTTTCCCCCCATCTCGGTTTCGAAAAAGAGTTTTGTAGTGCTGTGATTTCTTCTGCGATGTTGGAAGTACTTTTGACAGTCGTTTTCGTCCATTTCCATTGTGTGTTCGCACTCGATGTGCGCCTGTTTCATTGCGTCAATGTCGTGCGTTGGCATTTGTGATTCGTTTCATGTTCTGCGGCCAAGTATTCCCTCAACTGATGAGTGCAACACGAACACATGCACTGTCTGCCACTGGGATGATTCTGGAATGCGAACACACACACAAAAAAAAAAAAAAAGGAAAAAGGAAAAAAAAAAAAAAGGTCTTCGAAGCGACGATAGAAAATGACACGTGCAAATGAAGATGAGATGTGTGAATGTGCATCGAGCACTGCATGGACCGTCAGGTTAGGAAAGAGAGCAATCACACACTGCAAACATACGAAACATCCGTCCCGAATCGAAGACATGAAGAAAAAAAGGTAGCGCGTTATGAATGTACATGACTCATGCTGCGCCGACAAGCGCATCCAGTCCGGTCGTTTACGCGCACCGAATCCTCCACCGACGCTCGGCGACGAGTTGTTACCATCACCTCCACCGTCGCAAACCGATTGAGGCAGACCGCCGTCTCGTGGGCCGCACATAGCGCCTTGCGTGTTGTCCGCGCAATCCCGACCCGGGTGGGGATTGATTATCCGAGTGTGCGTTGCGGCTGCTCCGCTGCTGCTCGACAGCTAAAAGCTCAGATCAACCGCTGCATCGCCGTCGTCATCGCACAGCCCCTCGTTCAGAAGTGACGTGTAAGACCACGGCGTCTCCACCCCCCTGCCGCCGCACGATTGCGTCGCCGCCCAGTCCTGCGTAGAACCGCTTCCCAACGGCAAAGTCGGCGACCTGGCTTCCCCCCCCTCGTTATCCGACGGAGGCAGAGGAATCTCGTGAGAAGGCAGGTGTGCATACAACCTCGGGTAGTACGGCTGCTTCGCCACCGACCCCGCACTGCGTTGGCGATTGATAGATCCGCCGGATGTGTCTGTCGGTCTGCCGTTCGGCAGCCGTCCAGCCATCCTGTCGGCCTTCCTGGGAGATCTCCTTCTGCGAGACGCGACCGGGACGAGGCCGACGAGACACACGTGGTAGAAGACAACGACGAGAAGCAGCAAGACGACGAGGAACAGCAGGGGAAGCCTGTGCAGCAGGTCGGCCATGTAAGGGCCGTTCAAAGGGGATGAAACCGACGTCGGCGGTGGACCGTTCAACAAACAAGGTCGTCCAGACAAGGAAGATCCGTGGAAGATCTGTGCTCGAACGTGCGAGGCGTGACGGCAGTGGAAGAAACGACGATCCTGTCGAATGACTGTCGTCACCGAACGGGGAGCCATGTACAAAAACTTTCGAATTTCGGACCGTTGTCGACGATCGCCCGCCGGAGCAGACCGCACGACGGCGGTGGCCGTCGAGTCGCGCGGACGGACGGAGGCCTCGCGTCGCCGGTTACCGTTTGGAGCCGTTGGGACGACGAGCAGACTTTCGAGGCGGAGATGTCCGTGCTCCCTTTCGGCAGACCACGTCTGGACCACCCTCCAACCGAAATTGTGCGTCGACGCATGCCTTCGTCGCTCCGAATTTCGCGCTTCCTTGTGTTACGAGGGACCTCGGGAGGTCCCTTGGGGTTTAGGGAAAATTGGCTGTGGCCACAAGGACGCCACAAGGAAACGTCCTTGTGGTGTTTTCACTTTTTTTTTCGACGATCGTCCCCAAGGATACGTGTAACGATCATTTCCTTGTGGATTTCGGGTCCACAAGGCGTGTCCAACGAGGCCCTAAGAACCACAAAAAGAGTCCAGAAGAATTAAAAGACAATCTGAGAAAAGTTTATTGAGTACCTCATGATTTTTTTTATCCCTGTTGCTTGGAGGGAATTGGGGGAACCGCAAGAACATCGTTCTTTTTTTTATTGAGGAAAGAGAAAGATAGTACCAAAAAAAAGATACAAAGGAGAAGGATGTTCCTTGCACGGTTGATTACTTGGAAAACCCTTTATAATGCATGCACCACCAAATGCACAACTATTTATTTATAGGATTTTGCTTCTAGAACAACAACTTGAAGAGAAAATCACCTCATGCTGGGACAATCGGGCCGTGAACGTTTCCCATTCCGTAAGCAGAGTGGATATGTCAACTGGAAGAACAGCAGCGATCGAGCCCCCAGCTGTCAGACCAAAGCTTACGTGGCGAAGCAGCTTGTTTTTCTCCTCACACTTTCGTCGAATTTCAAGCACATGAGGGATGTCTTCCACCTGAAAGTAATGAATAGCCAAAAGTTAGGGGTTTCGTAGTACTTGTTCGAAAGTAGAACATTTGGATGTTGGGATGGAATCTCGGCTAGTGAGGTCAGGAAGCAATTAATGGCGGGAATAAATAGCAGGAACTAGGGGGGGATGCTCTTATCATCTTTCCGATTAAGTTCTGCTCAGTCTTCGGAAAAAAAAAAAAAAAAAAAGAAAAAAAAAAGGTCTTATGTCAGGTTTTAAAAACAGTGGACCAACCACACTATCCCCAAACCAACCAATTTCTGAACAGACTAATCCACCTACAAATAAAGCAACAAAGTTTTTTTTTTTTTTTTTTTACAAACTAAATCCATACATCCATCCATTCATCCATCCATCCATCCATCCACCCAGCCAGCCAGCCATTCAGTGGCCAGCCAGCCCGCCGAGAAGTAACCGGTGATTCAGCCAATGACTCAAGGATCAAGTCAAGCAACACACCAGTCCAACTTATAAATCATCATTTCACCAAACAATCAAACAACCAACCGATCAATGAACCAGCCAATCAATTAAGCCAATCACCCAATCAGCTGCCAGATCAGTCTAGCAGTCTTTTACCAAGTGACAGTGTGGGTTGGGAAACATCTATGACATACTGGTCTTCGTGTTCTCAGTTTCTTTAGGATATAGTCACACTCGGACTTTTCTGCACTGACTCTGCCCATGTTCCTGGGGTTGGGGGGACCATTCTCTGTCTGTTTCCTGCCTATTTTGTCTCCGAGCCGGGTAACCTCTTTTTTCATCCGTTTTGACAGGTTTGCTCCACCCCTTCAAGGATAGTAAACCCCTAAACACCTAAACCCCTATAAGCTGGCAGTTCGAGCTCAGAGCCGAGACGACGCTCCTATGCCTACGTTACCACAAACCCTCCCCTGAGGGTGATGCGCATTAAACCACCAGTACACCGCCCATACATCAGCGGCCGGAAAAACTTTTGTTTTTCCCATTTTATTTTATTTTTTTTAGCAGAAGCGGACGCGTTTCTGGTCGGATGAATTTGGGCGAACCCTTGGTGGCCCCTCCGTTCATCATTGTCGCCGCTGGTAATGCGCCACGACTTTCGGAGGTACTGGTGGTTTAAGGGGAAGGGATTAGGAGCTGCAGTCATGGTGCCAGAGATAATGACAGTTTTCTAGGTGACCACAGGGGCCTCACGGGTCTCAACTCGAACATCCAGATTGACGTTCTAACTGGCTATTGGCTATTGCAGTTCCTAATCACCTCCCCTAAAGGGACAGCACCAATTGCCCATCCTAAGAACCCCTAAAGGGCCAGTATGTGGTGCCCCACAAATTCTTACGGGAATCATGCTGTTCTTAGGGACTCGTTAGACACTCCTAAAAGGATCCCAAAAGATTTTTAGGACTCTCTCTGTGCTGGTTATAAGCTTCCTAAAACCTTTTTTTTTTTTTTTTTTTCATGAAATTTCACCAACATCTAAATTTCAGAAATCTTGAGAAATTTCAGAAATCTTAACAGAGGAAATTCCAATTCTCCAAACCTATCGCTAGCTATGGCAGCTATGGCCCCCGGCTACTACTAACTACAAACACTTTTTTTTTAGTTTTTCCTAAAACTTGAGCTTTTAGGAGTAGTCCTAAAAGTTACCCCGCGGCCAGTCTCATATGTGTACGTGAAGCCATGCCGCCTATGTCCGCCCATCGTCGTCTTGTGTCCGTGGTACACAGGGATGCGAACCCCAGACAGCCGGAGCCTGGGAGAAAGAAACGTGCACGGCGAAGCGTTTTCAAAAATTCGAATTTGAATTCCATGCGGGCTGGGAAAGGGCCACTGGAGCTATGACGTACAAAGTTGCTGTGCAAGGAGCGTGCAGGGAGGCGTGGCTGTGTTTTGTGTATCGATCGGCGAGACTGAGCGCGGTGTGTGACGCTTTCAAAGGTGGCAAAAGCAGGCCGGCGACGTTGAAGTCCAGCACGGGCGGAAGGTCAGCAATGGAGCTGGGTGTTGCTGGCAGTGGCCATGCGTTGTCCGCTGAAGAGCGGGACGCGGTCGTGCTGGCGGTATCGGCCGTCATTCTTGAGGCGTAGAGGGAGAGGACATCCACATCCCGCGGTATGCACCTGGGGTTGTGGAAGCGCAGGGCTTTGTTGCAGTGTGTGGTTGAGGAGCCCGATTGAGCGGCGACATCAGAAGCTCTTTTGCAGCTTTGCGCGGCGCTATCCTGCGGCAGCGTCCCACGTGAAACCCTGAGATGGTGGATCAAGCGACGGATGGCACGTGGACGGACCTTCTTGTGCGCGCACTGATGGACCGCCCGCAGTGGATCAAGCAACGGACTCGTGATTCTTCAGTGCGCGCGGTGATGGACCAACTGCCACTGCTTGTTCGGTTGACGATGAACGTGTGGGTGACTGGAGCGGGACTGCTCGTCGACAAGCCGAAGTTCAAATCCACATCCCCGTTAGCACCATCTCCCAAGCCGGTTAAACCCAAAGCTTGGTCCATCACCCAAAGCTTGGTCCATAGCGGCGAGTTCAAACTTTGCAGAAGGAATGTGAACTCGCCGCCGCACGCTGATATGCAGCCGCCCGTCTGCAACGTGTGCATCCAATTCTGAGTGGACCCGCTACCCAAAGGCACCATCGGCATCTCCTCCTCCTTGCCTTCATCATCCGTCAGCGCAGAGGCTGCTCGTACCACAGCAGATGGCTGTACAGGGATGGGTTGTACCGCTGACGACACACAGTGTCGCTATCGCTCCTCCTCTGTCGACATTCGTACTCGCCATGAGTCGGTCACCCAATGTCCTTTTCCTCCCCACGTGCCGCTTGTGTTGTTGCTTCGGTAGCCTGATCACAAAGCAAATGTGGAGGAAGACGGAAATCAAGAAGACGACGACGAAGAACAGCAGCAGCGGAATCTTCCGATAGACGTCAGCCATGAATCATGAACACAGATGCACCGATCCTGACAACAGAGCCAACGGTGTAAACGGACCGCCTGATTGGGCACTGCAGGATTCAGCATGCTGACAAGGAAATCCACGATGACAATTTGGCGCCATGTGGAGAGGACGCAGGCAGGGGGAACACAAAAGTAGCTTGAATTCCAACCATTGGCCGCCATCGACCACCCACAAATCGCCCTAGCTGGGTGCGGCACCCCTCAGTCCTTCCGCACCCAACGGTCGACTACAGCGTGGGCACGCCACTGCACGACCTCGCCTGCGGGACCTCCCCCCGGCCAAACCCCACCTCCCCCCCAACGGCTAGCAGTTCTTGCCGTTGCCGTCGTCCCCCGGCCAAAGGCCTGCAATGTCCGTGCAGCGGCCCCACGGACAACTTCTGCACCACGGAGTACTGGACAGTGATGTGCTGCACGTTTCACCAAAGCTCCGTGAAAAAAGGACTCACAAATTTTAAAGCTCCTCGCAAGGAGCTTTATTTTTCCGGTCCTTTTGCCTGGGGATTCCTAGATAAAAATAGGAACACTACTTACGCTGTTTTCACCTCGCATGAGACGGAGGGGGGACTGATCTGGTAACGGTTTGTGGGGCGCGGCGCTACCGGGAGCGCTGCGCCCCTCCGCTACGGCGCGAACTGGTCGGCGCAACGAGCAGCACGAGGCGGGTGAGCGAAGGCGATAGCGGGAGTGACTCGCGACGAGGTGGTGAGGGTGCTGCGGGTGTGATGAGCAGCACGAGGCGGGCGAGCGAAGGCGATGGTTGGAGTGACTCGCGACGAGGCTGTGAGGGCGCTGCGGTGCGTGGGGTGGACAACGGTGAGTAGTGTGAGGCGGATTATGGTGGAGAAGATGTGGGATGCCACGTGTGGAAAGAAGAGGGAGGGGGTCGAAGGAGAGTGTCTTGGTTTTTCTTTCCCTCTTTCCACCTCGTTCTCTGTCTCCTGTTTCTTCCGATCCAGCTGTTGAAGGTCGTTGTGCAGGGATCGAACTCTCGGTGAGGCTGCGTTGACGGGCTTGACGCGGTTACTCACAACACAATCACCTTCGGGAAGTTTTATGGAGGCGGCGGTGTCCTGAGTAGCTCTTCTGGCTAGTGCACTTTGCCAAAGGGCTGTTCTAGCATTGGCTATGGGGAGGAGAGGCTGTTCCTCCCACAGGAAGAGGAGGGGGATGAGTTTGGTCAGGATGGCGGTCTGGCAGTGGGATCTGGAGACGGCGGGAGTGGAGTGTCTTGAGATGACCTGAAGAACAGGCGATTTTACGAAGAACGAGACAATTTCATGAGGCGATGGAAGCTCGACGCACGGCGGTTTCTCAAAGACGTTAACCTTAGTTTTGTTCCATCTTTCCATAGTATCTTAGGGCTTCGAGGATTAGGCTGTTCCCACGATAGCCCGCCAGAATTTGTATTACCTATTCGTCTGTTCTATATCGTTATCCCTGGTGATGATCCAAATGATGACGAGCTAATATTGGTGCTATAGAGCCTTTTGGTTTCTGTTGTTTCTTTCTTAACTCTGAAAAGTTTAATCTCTTACTATACATGCCGTATTCTTAGGCAGGTGTTTTATAGATCCTGATCGATAGTTTGCATCTTCCTTTTCATGTCCTGATTCGTTTCAGCTTAGAACCTTCTGATTACAGTTGGCATTCTCTGTTTACAAATTCCTGATCTACGATCTGAGCGATTTTTTGAACAAGAGTTCCGGAAATCAGAGTCAAAAAGTCCGTGAGGACATCAAATCAACTTCCTATTTCGTTTTCCATCTTGAAATTTTGAAATCTCCCAAACTGGGTCTGCTATTGATCTTTTAAATTGGATGTTTCTAAATTGGATGTTTCTGAATTGGATGTCAAAAATTTCTGTGATTGCTATTTGATCTCATTTTCCAATTTCGATTTTTGAAAAGCCTTGATTCCTTGGGGTGTGAAGCTGGGATTGGGGATGGAAGGTAGAAGGGGGTCTTAACAGAGGAGGTTCGTTGGTCAGGGTAAGTAGGTTAGAAGGACGGTGCTGGGACGACGCAGGCCGGTGCTGGAGCTTGAGCTCTGTAACCTGGGGGGGAGCTTGAGGCCTGCGAAGTTATGCCGAGCGCATAACCAGACCGTCCAACGAGGCTGGCGCCGGGGTATCGACCCTGTAACCGGTTAGGGGCTTGCCGCCACAAGAACTGTTGAGGGAGGAAGGCACTTCTTGACCGTCGGAACGAGTTTGCTCGGTACTGGGGAGGGTTGTGGTGCCCTGTTACCCTAGCAGAGAGGGGGTATGAGATCAAGTGAGTTCTGGTACGAAGACTGAAAGCCTGGACTGACACTTCGTCTGTTGAGGGGGGATTTTAGGATAGTAGGTGTTTTAGTTTCGCCCCCCCCGTTCTCATAAAGTTTATAGCAAAAATCTTAATAAGATTAAGTCGTTTGGTAGTCCTGGATGGTCTCCAGGATTTTGAGATTCCTGCTAACTCATCCTGAGGTGGTTTCGAGGTTGTTGTACTCAGTGATTTGCGGTTGTCCGATGCCAGAACGACACTGGGCGGTGCTGGGGAGTTGCCCTGTAACCTGCAACGCGGGAGCATGAGGCCTGGTAGAGAGATCTGGGGATGCTTTGGGGAGGGCATTCCGCGGGACATCCAAGGGTTACTGCCGGGATGACGCTGGTCAGAGCTGGGGTGAGTCGTGTTGCCCTGTAACCCAGCTAGATGTGGGGGTGGGAGACCTGGAAGAGCTCGGCAGGGAGTAAGACAGTTTTGGAAGACTTCGGATGGGGGTGTGAGGGACTTCAACGTTTTTTGGATCATTTGCAGGACCCCTGCGGCCTATTCTCATGCTCTTTGTTTACTGTAATGCGTTCTGACGTACCTTGAGAAGAGAATAGGGTGGGTGGGAGAAGAAAATGGGGGGATATCACGCGTCCTATCAGTGAGGGGGCTAGCTGGTAGGATGGGAGTATGGCACAGCAGCAGCAGAGATGGTGGCTCTGTTGCAGTGAGTCTTGCCGGAGGGAGGCGTAGAGGTTTGATGGGGGGTTTATCTGAGTAGATTTTTGAATTTTGTCATAGTCACCCCAAAAAAATTCTTAATCTGGCCCTAGTTTCCTTGCCAGTTTCGAGATGTTTCTGGATATTGTAGGTAGTCTTGAGAATTGTTTAGGACTCGGGGCACTTCTGGCAAAGCAGTCTAGGTTTCCTTGATGCTGTTTACTCATGAACCTGTTGGTTTTTCGATGCCAGAACGACGCTGGCCGGTGCTGGGGGATTGCCCTGTAACCTGTTAATAGCAGGAGCCTGAGGCCTGGTAGAGAGATCTGGGGATGCTTTGGGCCGGGCATTCTACGGGAAAACCAAGGGTTGCTGTTGGGACGACGCTGGCCGGAGCTGGGGTGAGTCGTGTTGCCCTGTAACCTAGCAGGGTGGGGGCATGAGGCCTGGGAGAGCTCGGCAGGGAGGAAGACAGTATTAGAGAATTTTAGAGTGTTTTTGTGGGGAGCCTCCAGGGGTTCTGAACATTCGAAGGACTTCTACTAATTGCTGTTTGGATTCTTCCAGTAGTTCCTTGTCTAAATTCATGAAATTTTCTGATGATGGGACGCTGGGCCCGGTTCCCAGTTGGTGCCAAATTAAGAGGATATGGTGGTATCTATGGGACGCTGGACCCGGTTTCCAGCAGGTGTTGCTCCCCACCAATAGATGGAGCTGTTTTTTTAAAAAAAAAAAAAAAAAAAAAAGGTCAGTCAGTCCGGTCTAGGTCTAGTGTAGTCTATAGATAGGTTAGGCCCATCGATTCAGGACTTTAAAATTAAAAAAAAAATAAAAAATAAAAATAAAAATAAAAAAGTTTTCACTTTTTCTTTACGATTTCGTTTTCTGGAAGCTTCTAACCACAATGCATTCCTAAAAACTGGCGTTTTTAGGAGTGTCTAACGAGAGAAAAGGAATTCCTCCAAGACCGCGCAGTGGACCACAGCCCTTAGCCTGCTGCAGATTGCTGGTCCTGTACCTGCGTCTTTTCCTTTCTGTTTTTCTTTTTTGTTTGAAAATTTTTGAACATTTCTTTTATTTCTGCATGTCGTCCTTGGCAAAGCAGTGCCATGCTAATTGATATTCTCTTTGTAATTCCAATTATGGGTCACCCACAAGGTTACTCAGGTGCTGCACTGCTTGGATGTACCAAAAGGACACTCAAGGACACTCAGGTTCTTTACCAGTTTGGCTGCTGCTTCTCTTGCTTTTCCGATTTCCTCAACACTGTTTGCCTTAGCCTCCAAAACACTTTTCCCCTCCGCAAGAAATTTCTCTATGGCCTCTCTATCTTTGGAAGCCTTGCGACGGAGAGACATACACAGCACCTCGTGGAGTCTCTGCATCTGTTCCTCCAAGCTCGACTTTACCAAAAGTGTGGACACAGTGTAGCAATCCACCTGGCAGTGCCACAAAGGAAAGTAACAGCCGACCAATGCCATGCAGGGCAATTCGCAATTGAAAACAATGAAAGCATTATAGAAAAAAAAGTGATCTGGCTCAATCTGAGTGGCGTATGAGTAGAAGGGTTGAGATCCTTGATGTCTCCTATCAGGGAGATGTAGGGAAGGAGGTCGTACTAGCGCCATTATATTAAAACTCATGTCATCTTCTTCTTGTTATTCTCCATGATTATTTGTATTTGTCTCATGTGGCTCAAGCTTGGAAATGAGATACATCATGGTTCTTCATTTGGACATGAAAGTTTTTTTCTCTTCAAAAGAATCAAAACAAAAAAAAGATAAATAATGTAGGTTAACGGAGTGGCCTGGGGCCATATTTCCGACCAGGTAAAAAAAGAATTATTAATAATAATTGGTTTGTTTCGCAAAGAATTTCGATGTGACCCTGAGGCAAAACGGTGTTCAGTGG